TGGAGTGTAATGAAATTAACCATAATCCACTCTCCATTTGATGTGGAAGGGAAGCAGATGCATAAATTATTATTATTATTAAGGAGAATATGGATTGCTCGCAATCCACAATTAAAGTATGCCATAATCGAGAAGGATAATTTTGCTAACCGGGGCCATTGATTCCTTTCGTTGAACAAATGAAATTGCGCAATTAATTGCATACTTTCCCTCTTTCCCAAATTCAGATAAGAAAGGGGATTGAATCATACTGTGCTGGTCTCTTTTAGCTTGTCCAACGAATTCCCAATGATGCTTTCTTTCTTCTTATTACGAATCAGTTTTGCCTTTTCTGCCACCATCTGAATCATCTCCTAAGTTAAATGCATAACAATCAACCAGATTGTTTAAAAAATATCACTATACCAAGTAATAGCAAAAACAGGAAATACCTCTTCATCTTCATCATGATCAGTGCTTTCTTGAACGCGCCTCTCAAGTTCTACTAGCTCACTTTGTAGAGTTTCATAACGACGAAAATCATCTGATTTTGAGACAATTGTTCCATTGTTCTCTGCTGCACTGTGCTCAACTCTTCCATCATCCTAGATCAGATTTTAAAGAAGGTTGATACTCAAGTCTTTAAGTGATATGTGCCAGAAATTTAGAAAGAGTTATTGGCATGCAGAATTTTGCTTTTTCTGACAAATTGCAGAAATGGATTTTAATAGGTTAGCAAATGAGCAAAAGTATGAGAGAGTCTCGACACCAAAGTGTAGGGCATACACTTCTTGTGGCAGATGATGATGGATCATCTCTGGCTTTGTTAGGTTTACGTAACAAAAAGCCCCTTAAGGCACTTGCCCTGGAAAAAAAACATTATTGAATTTTAATATGAAGCCATGGAGCACTGTATGTAATTAGTATTCTAATGCAGGACACAATTATCAATTACATGTTGCTTGTATTATTAGTCCTTGTGCTGTTTTTGTCTTCAGAACATTGCCTTGACTCATTAATTAAAGGTGAAGAAGAAGCTGCTGCATCCCCCTAGCCATTCATTGCAAAGCCAAAATTTAATCATTCATAATTTCATATATTATATACCGATACAGAAATGTTATCCTCCATTGCAAAACTGTCTATTGGGTATTAAATCCAATAGCAGAAATGTAAAAGCAAACCTTTCAAATTAAAGTTATAGACCAACTCGGAATTTTAAGGCATGGATAGTTCGAATTCACATATTTATGCTAAAACTTCAAGCCCAATTGACAGTTTTGTAACAAAGAACCAAATAACTGTGGAGAATCGATAGCCAGAAAACCTTTTTTTGTATTTTCCACTGTGGATGGAAAAAATTGACGTATGTAAAATATAAAGATCTCATTTCTGAAATTTAATTCAATTATAATGACCACATAGTTTATTTTTTATTAATGTGACACCATAATCATACATAAAAGGTTTGGGTAGAAGATAATGAAGTGGTGAATTGGCATCTCTAAAGAATTTATTTTATTCTTTTTTATTTTGTTTTGGCAGAAGAAAGGCTTGAACAAAATACGAATTTCTTCAATGGCACGCAAAGAGAACCTGCTCCAGGGAAGCTTCCTTTGCTCGAAAAGATGCCTCGAGAAATTCTGCCTCTTTCTTAAGTCTTCTTATCCTTTCAAGGTCAGAACAAGCAGCTTTTAAATGCTCTTTTCCACTACCGGGGGTTGACACATGCAGCTCCTGAAGCAATCCCTCTAGCCTGATTAGAGCTTCTTCAACGCTCTCCATTGCCTTAAAAACAAAAATCAAACATAGAGCTTCAACAAAATGGGCTATGAATCAAAATAAATTGACATATACAGGGAATGTAATACCTTATCAAAGGAATCTTGTTCTTTCCCGGTTCGTGAATAAGCTCCAGTAGAACTTCTGTGCACATTTGTTAGCACTTAAGCATCAATGGACTGACTAGGTTACGGCAATTTTCTCCAGTGTCCAATAAAGATGCATAAATGGACAAATTTATATTTTTTTTCATTTGACTTACTTCTCTATCCCCAGCTCTCTCACGCATTTATGAAGTATGTTGTGCCTGAAAAGTCGAAACATTTGTTATTCCATAGTCGTTATGGAGCATTACGTATGGCTTAATATGTATTAGTAATCCCTCTCTTCCCATAAATGAGTCCTATTTCATTTTTTCATAAGCCATCGCTAGTTGTTTATGTAATATTCCAATAAATAAATAAAAACAAGCTCAACAACAAACCCAATGAAATCCCACCCATAAAAACAAGGCCAATATGTTAGATTTAATAGAACCAAATAAAATAAAATAAAATATAGAAATATAAGTAGGGAAGTTTTTAGTCCATTGTCAATGGAACTAAAAGAGTCATTTTTACTATGTTTTAGCTTCAGGAAAATGGACTATATCAAAATGACGCATTAAACTTGTCTTGCTTCTTAATTTATAGGAATTTTATGAAGTAAATGCAGCAACGCATCATGGGTCTAGAACAACCTCGCTGTTTTTATAAGGGTAAGGTTGTGTGCATCTTTAACCCCTAGACCCCAACGCAGTTGGGATTATTGTGGTTTGTTGTTGTTGTTGTTGTTGGTGGTGGTGGTGTTGTAAGGCTCCATGGATTTAAAGAGTTGAATCTTATCAAAATAAAAAAGTTGTATATCAATAAAAAACAAGTTTTGTGTGTGTGTGTGGGGGGGGGGGTGGAGTCCGCATTATTTTATAAATATATAACTGTTTTGTAAAATTAGGAAATTTCATTACGCTGTTGAAACAAATCTAGCTGCCTTGATATTGGAAGTGCTCCCCAGCCATCTGCTGTATTTGATGAAACTCTGGATCCAGTAAGAGCAGACATCAAATACTAAGAGGACAGCTTCAGCATTTGGGAGAAGTTCTTCATCAATTTTGTGCCCGGACTTACACTTGCTATTGCTGTTGAATCCCGGATAAAAAGGAAGCCATTCTAGCTCTTCACATACAACCTATCACATTAAAGGTATCAATTTTTTCCGGGCATTGCAATACTTCATATTAATACTGTTTTTAACATGCTAACCTCTACATATAGTTGATAGGAACTTATAGATGAAAGCTGAGGGTAATATAGCACGCTGCCTCCAATTAAGTACCTGTTTTGGATATTATGATAAAATCACTGAAATAGAGAAGTATATATACCATCAAACATGAGTCGATTTATAATAGAGCAAATATTTCACCTGATTAGCCTTTCAATTGGCTCAAGTCCTTCAAGAGTCTTATCCATAGCATCAAACCCATTTGCAGAAAGAAAACATTGTGTAGTCCTCCCCAAGGCAATGAAGAACCCAAATATAGCCAGGTCCTTCTCAAGTATCTGGTATAGTAATAACAGACGAGAATGTAAATGGAAAATAAAACTGGATTCATATCCTCATGTTATGTGTGTGATGCCATAAGGAACAAATATCCAGATGAAAACATGTGAGCTGCATAAACCTTATGCTGGAAACAAGACAATTTCTGTCAAACTCAACAGCCATTCATTGATCTTCATCATATGAACTTAATGCATAAAGCACTCGATATTCATGTCCTCCCAATTACACCCACAATATCCCCAGCAAGGGTATTCTAGAAAAATAAAGATGATCCAGATCTTCATGGATGCCATTGCCTTTTCTTGTCATACCACTCCTCACCGTTTCTTTTCAATGATATTGTGCTAGATGACACCACGAGCCTGACTTCTTATCTTTCTATTTCATCCGTCAATGTTTTTTGCAGTTCAAACTCTGTTCTTCAGTATAATCCACGCCTAGGCTTTAAGACTTTCCTAGGCCTCAGTCTGCCACTTTTTAGAACACTGAGTACATCACATCTACAAATGCACTTTCTGTGCTGACTAAAGTTGTTATGGATCTTATGATGCATGCATCAGAAAAATTGTCAGACCAACAACCTTGGATCATTTTGTCAAATCAAAGAAAGAAACGTAAATGAAAATGAAAGTAACTGGTCTTCTGCCTTTCTCCTGTTGTAACCATTGTAAGTAGGAAATAGCGGTGAAGATCCGCTATGGAAGCTAAAAGAATCCTCCTCTATCTCACCCTCAATCTCTATGACCTAGACCTCTAGCTTCATTACCTTCTTTGTCTTCTCTTCCACCTTCCTCGGTGGGCTTTCGCCTAATACTGTTTTGGCCTCTTGGCCAAAAAAAACAGTACATCCAATAAGTGGGTTTCCCAAAAAAACTGGTTCACCAGGCATGGTTTTATACATTTGATGGTTTAGAATAGCGTCCTCTCATACCAATAGGTGCCCTTAAGTACAACGATAAGCTAGTAAGTGAATAACTCTTATCATAGTTATTTAAGTTAGGATTATTGTTTTTAAGTACTTTCATATATGTGTCATTCTTTAATACTATTTTTTAGCAAGTCATTCTTTAATACTTAGTATTAACAGAATTTAAGAAAAATATCTGATTTGATATTTTTCTAATTACGATATTGCTTTATAGAACCAGCTAGGACCCATTTGGCCAAACTAAGATAGGGAATCAGAAGAAAGCTTTTGGAGTCATGCATGGGATGCACATGAAGTCATCTAAAAGATAATCGTGAATCTGACAAAAATTTTGAAAGATCCCTTTTCTAGTATCACAAGAATTTGGAAAACATCCTTGCAATTGCTCAAATTTTTCCAGAAGGGGATAAATAGTCCCTATAGTGTTTAAGACTAGTAATACATTGTTGAAGACTTAGGGATTAGCACCTTGCTAATATGAAGCCCAAATGCATGCACACAAACTACAAAGTATCTTGTTGAGGTAAAAATATGCTATGAATAAACTAACATGTAATAAATTATTATGGGTTATCTCATTTATGACAGTTTGGCCATAAGTAACATATTCTCACTTTATTGAGATATGAAGTGGTTAGTCCAGGTAGAACATATAGCTAGATATCAAGAAGGGGCTCGCCCTCAAGGCACCATAATTTTTGCTTAAACACTAAAGGGGTCCTTTTCCCACCATGGCACCATCATGGAATATTCTAGTGGTCCAGAGCCAAAAGGGTCATTTCAAAATATTTTTGGCCCACAATTGTCTTTAAGATGATGTTATGTGCATCCTATTGAGTATTGATGACTGTAAACGATTTCCCCAGTTCCCCTCTCAGTTTGGACAATTGAATCTCAATTGGGTTTTTAGAGTAGACATCCTAATTACAAAAGATCAAATCAGATTCACTACTTAAACCCAATCAGTTCTAAGTGTTGTATAATGATATGTATATCATAATGATTAAAAATAATAAGCATTATCATTATACTCCCTCTGTCCCAAAGTCATCTCCCACTTTCCACTTTAGGATGTACCAAAATCATCTTCTCATTTCCCTTTTTGGCACATACTTTTTACTTCTTTTAAACAACATTCATGTTTACCATCAACAACCTACATACATATTACCTTTTTCTCCACTTTTACTGAACCCAAAATGTATCATTTCAACTCTTAATCTCCGTGTCATTTTCACAAGGGAAGATGATTTTGGGATGGAAGGAGTAATAATTAGGATGAGAAAAATACATTTGTTTGCTTATCATTGTAATTAACCGCACTGGTGGTATGGAAGGACTCTAGACTAAGACATCAAATGATCACAATCCATGCATGATGAACTATCCTTTGACTTTTGGGCAACAAAATTGTTGGATGTGTGGTAATAGCCACAAGGCCAGAAAATGATAGGTTAGAGCCTCTACTGAGAAAGACGGAAGTTGAGTCAGAGATGGAACTAATCAAGTGAATGAGGTAGTGAAGACTATACCTACGCAAAGGAACTTCTTCTTGGCTTTCATATCAGCGACATCTTCACCACTTGTTCCCAGGGATAGCAGTAAACTCATGAAAAATAGAAGGCATGTTAATTTGATACGGGCTAAATGGCGATCCCACACCGGTCAAATGGGGGATTGGTGTGGGGTTTATATAGCCAAGGGTTCTACCACCTTAAGAGCTAGCTTTTGGGGTGTGGCTCTCCCTTGTGTTGTGTTCGAGTTCCCACATCGAAAAATAAAGATGAATACTACTAGCGTATATAAAAGGGTGAAACCCTACCTATCAGCTTAAGCTTTCGGGTTAGAATAGTGGGTCCCGACTTTATATGCAAGTGGTTAATTTTACCCAACACTCTACTCGTTGTTCTCGGCCCGCCGGAATTTTAACATGGTATCGGAGCAAGTCCGGTCCGGGTTCGATTCTTCCTGGTTGTTGGACGTGGGTTTAGCAAAAAAAGAGCTACTTGTTCATGGTTTGGGTTGAGTTGGCTAAAAGAGATTGAGATGCCACTGCCCGTTGTGTGGGCTAGCTATAGGAGATTGATATGCTAAACCCGTTTGTCCAAGTGCTTACTAGGCCAGGTAGTTAGCATTTGAGGGGGAGTTTTGGAGTTCCCACATCGGAAAATAAAGATGAATACTACTAGCGTATATAGAAGGGTGGAACCCTACCTATCAGCTTAAGCTTTTGGGTTAGAATAGTGGATCCCGACTTGATATGCAAGTGGTTAATTTTACCCGACACTTTACTCGCTGTTCTCGGCCCGCCGGAATTTTAACATGTTGTATCAGTGGTATCAGAGCAAACTCGGAGTGCTGGCGTACGGAGTGGTGGCCTCGTCAAGCCAGCTGTGACCAACGAGGACGCTGGGCCTTATGGGGGGTCGAATGATACGGGCTAAATGGCGATCCCGCACCGGTCAAATTGGGGATTGGTGTCGGGTTAATATAGCCAAGAGTTCTCCCACCTTAATAGCTAGCTTTTGGGGTGTGGCTCTCCCTTATGTTGTATCATAATTTCATTTACATGTCTTTGTTTTACTCATTTCTTCTTCTTCTTCTTCTTCTTCTTCTTCTTCTTCTTCTTCTTCTTCTTCTTCTTGATTTGATAAACCAAACTAAGGTAGGTGGTCTAATACTCCTGATGCATGCATTATATAGGAATGTTACCAGGTATATAATCCTTTATCCTCTGTTGAGTTTGATGTTTCTTGACTTTTTTAAATAAACATAAGGTTGTTGATGTGTTGCCTTCTTCATTACATTTCTCACCACTTAGAGCCCAATACAAACATTCATGCGAAGGGATCACTAAAACACAATTTTGAATATCCACACAATATTTAATGAACTTTGAACTCTTCAACAACCACTTCTTAAGCAAGCACCAGGTCTAACCTCAATACTCTCAGAAGTTGTTAGTCTGGACCATATTCTCTCTTGATCTATAGCTCTCTGCAACTGCTTCTGAACAAAGTCTACCCAAAACACAGCCTCTTCAGCTCCTTGTTCATTTCTCCCTCTGCAAGCAGCAGCTCGAGGGCCAAAATGGACAAGAAATTCTCTATGCAAACCAGTAGTCTTTAATGACTGATAAGCCTGTTGAAGAGGGAGATTTTCAACCAGCATGTCCATCAATCTTCCTAAGGTCTCAGGAATAGATGAGAAGAATTGTTCACATGAAACTTTCACCGGACCAAGTTTTATAATTGCTTCAATGCAACTTAGTGCAAGCATGAGAAGCTGTACATGATATGCGTTCCTTGTAGATGATATCCCACTCCTGCTCCTGTAAGAGCAAAATCAGCATTACAAAAAAAGGTACTGCAGAATTGTTACTTTAAAAAGAAAGTGCACTGAATGACGTACGCTGCAGTAGAGGAAGTAAAGCTTTTTTCCCTCTGAAAGTAATTAACAAATGTGGTCACAACAGCTGGGATCTGCTCAGACCAGAACCACTCAAAAATTTCTTGTTGGCTTGTTAATAGTTTGTTATTAATCACACTCTCCAGTGGAGCAGACAGCTTCGATATACTGCATGAATGTAGTAGCAAATTTTAATACTCCACAGAGAATATCAATAACAGCACAGCAAAACGAAGCAGTGAATGCTTGCTTTAAAAAAATTATACTAGTCCCAATGTATTTAGATAATTTACATATTAAAATAATAGTCCAGCACTGAGTATCATAATTTCATACTTAAAAATTAAAAGGTTACTAATGACTAATACTCCATTTGGGCCCTGTCCCACAAAGAACTTCACACTTTCCTTATTTGGATATCTCAAAAAAAACTTCACTCATTTCCTTAAACGGAAATGAATATGTGGCTCACAACATTTGTTACTCTTCCAAACAAATTTCAACCACACACTTTACTTTTCAATACTTTTCTTTAAACTCTATAAAGTCCAGCAATAAAGTTATTTAGGGGGCCGAGGAAGTATTTCACTATATTATTCCAATTGCGCCAACCCCCGCCTAATCCCACATGATTAAAATTTGAACCAGAGATAGGTCTGTTGCAGATAAACCACCAACCAAAAAGATCAGTATATCCCACTCCGAGGTAGGGTCTGGGAGTAAGGTGTACACAAATCTTACTTCTGCCGAAGTGAGTAGAGGTAAACTCCTAAGGCCTAAATACAGTTAACACTTCATATGCTACAGAGTCTGCATATGCCTTAAAAACATGCAAGACTAAATGGGATGAGTTCTAATTATAAATACACACAGAAGAAGACTACAACTATATTGAATGTGGTTATTACTTTATAACAATAAAAGTCAAAATTATCTTCATTGCGGGAAATGTCCATGTGCACTTCCCTATATACAGTTAATGGTGTATTTGATGATAATTGTACATAATGACCTTCTTTGGATGAAAGTATTGATATCTCTGCCTCTTCCATCTCCTTGAGATGAAACCTGATTCACTGCTTGAAGTAGAGAATATATTGATGCCTGAAGAATTGTTTATTCATTAGCCAACCTAGAAATTATGCATCAAAATACACCTAAAATAACTTAATTAGTAAAAGGGTGTCCTTGCTATTAAGGAATTAGACATTTTTGCATCCCCTAAAAACTGATCTTCCCACTTTAACATCAGTTTTCCAAATTGAAATGCATGTGAGGGAGCGGAAACATTTACATCTACTGACTGAAGATCATACTTATAAAAGTTCAGCAAAAATAGTGAGAATGACATTTTTGTTATATAGATTGGATACTATACAATAGGACTGAAAATATATCCCTATATGAAATGGCTTATAGAAAGCACTTCTATAAACAATTAATTTTCTTAAAAAAAGACAAGAAATTTGATGTATTTTTGTTGAGAAGAGTGCTTTTTACCCTACAAAAGCTAAAAATTAATGATTTATGATTACCTAGAAATCCTTTATATTTAAATACAAACAACATACAGTTTTTGAAACTTTGAACTACTAAAAAAGTGTTTTTATCTGTTTCAAAATCATCCAGATCAGCCTCTATATCTTCAACAAAAAACAACTCAATGGCTTGGGCAGTCCATTTGGGTTGGATTTATGTCCAGGGTAAGCCTCACCTCATCTTGTGGATCCTTTAGGGTTTAATTAGGACTAGTTCAACAATGGCTAACATGAAGTGTCAGACTATTGGTTTTCCACCAATGGGTATAATGTACTAAACAGAATTAGACAGGAGGCAAACAGGTGCCTAAGAATTGGGCAAGGATTGGGAGAGATCAAGTGAAGTATACACAGGATTATGCATGGTCAATTCAGCAAAGAGGCATGACGGGATAAAGGGAGCCCAGCCTCGAGGCAGAGAGATAGAAGCATCAATACTCAATAGGCACTCCAATGGCAATAACAACCACAGTGTACACTCTTGGAGATAATGAGTCAATGTCCTTACCTGATAAGATATCACCTTAACCCAAGCAGTTCTATCTACTCCTGGCCAGCCAATTAAGAACCATGGTTTTCTTGACGAGTTATGTTGTCTAATTCCAAGCTCAATTACCCTAGCAGCATCATGAAGGGCTTGGACAAGTCCACGACTATCCTCTTCACTTTCCATAGGGAGAACATGATTTACTCTCATTTCTTCAACGCCTGCACTAGTACTTGGATCAATACTCTCATCAACTGTCACCCCATCATCGGCCGAAACAAAAGGAAAACAGTATCCCTTCCTTCTTAACTTCCAATGTTCCCTTAAACCCGGAAATCTGTGGCTACAATCGAAACTCTCCGCCACTAGCCATGAGAGCTTGATGCTAGATTTCATCCTCGTATTACATCGATTAAATATCAGTTTATCCAAAACCACCACTCTTCTATCTGAATAATAGCTTGTAACCAGACGATTGATAGAGCTGCAATTTAGTATCAAAATAAACTGAGCTACTGTAATCCTTCTAGAGGTCCAACTGAACAAACAATTCACAATGAATTCATTTCAAGAACTAATTTCAGCCATTAACAAGACGAGAAACGACCAAAATTTCTGCATTTTGAAAATATATGCTGAAAATTTAGGAACGATGAAGAATTGATGTGACCTGGAGGAAACGGGAGTATGATTCCGCAGCTCGAGCCGCATCGAGAAGAACACGATTAAGCAACTCCGATTGCGCGCCTAGGGGGAAGCTGGTGGGAAATTTCTTCGTGCGTGGTGGTCTGGTTTTGGGTGAGCTCAGATTTGGTTTGAGTGACTGTGAGCGGAAGGAGACGATGACGTGGCATGTGAGGGTATGCCCGTGGACTCAAACCACCAAGGATCGGACCGGTTCGCCCTTTGAGCCGGACGCATTATTTGTAACGAGTTGCATTATTTACATTGTAGATAATCAATATTAATCATGGGTGCACAAACATAATTATACAATTTACCCGTGGACGGGTTGGGGTGTTGCACTTCTTTTGGACGAGTCACATTAATTACATTGACAATAATCATCTGTGGATAGACATAATTATACTCCATACCATTTACCTGAACAAATTTTATGGTAACAAAAAGATATTCTATGCAAACAACAAATATGACCTTGAGCAAAAACATGAAGAAGGAAACAACGAGAGTCAGATTATTTAGTTGATATGATGAGAAGATTTCAAAATGTTTTATTATCTTAGAAATCATTTTTAAGAATAACGCAAAATTAGCTTACTCTGGAAATATTTTACCACACGAGTTTTTTTGAGTTAGTACAAACTTATTTTAGTAAATCATTTGAAAATGAGACACTTTACTCATAAGATTATTTTTAAATTTACACAATTTATTATTCGAAACTTTTTCTAACATATTTTAAGCAAAAGTATTTCCGAGTACTCCGTATAATTTACTTTCGTTCATTCACACGTAGCCAGACAAAACATTTTAAAACGAACAATTTTATTCGTCCTTCTAGAATTGGACACATTTTCTAGCGATTAGTATTGGGCGAATATACTTACATATGTTTAATTGATTTGGGACAATGGTCAATGTCTACTAAAATTTTGAACGCAATTATCAATAACAAATACTATTATCAACAAAGTCACCCTATTTAACGGAACCAATAGTAATATCCTCAATAGTATTGCATATACTCCATATAGCGGTGGACACGTACGGTACAGTTCCGGTTCCGATACCGTCACCCCATGAAACCGTAACCGGTGACGGATTGGACGTGCCGGCGCCGGTTCCAATGCCGGCAGTTTCGGTACTGCTTCCGGACCGGTTCCAGCGGTTCTCTTTTTTTTAATATATATAAATATATGATTATAATCATATACTGAGTAATAATTATATTGAGAATTGAGAAGAACTCAAGATTTAGAGAGGGAAATTGTGAGAATACGATTTGTCATTTTTTTTTAAAAAATAGGAGTATATATATAGGTCAAATTTGACCCTCCACGCACTCCCCCCCCCCAAACGGCTTTAATAGCCGTTCTACATACTGCATGCACTTTAGAATTTGGATCGTTGGAAAGCTGGCTGACCAAAAAAAATGGAACCCATACCGGTACCGAGGTTCCGGTACCAAAAATTACATCCCGGAACTGGACCCATGTCCACCAATTTCGGTGACATTACTAGGTACCGTCTCCTTCGTGCCCGGCTCCGGTACGGTGGTGATTCTGAACCGGTACCGTGTCCACCCCTAATTGTATATATTTAGTTTTGGAGTTGTACATCCTCTAATAGTCTTCCATGTGTAATTGCACAATGGGATTTACCGTATTTCAAACCTAAATATAAGTTGTAATTTGGGGTCTTCATTTTTCTTTTCTTCCATATTTTTATTACAGTGTATTTTTTTTCAATTTTTTAAAATTTACATTATTTGTCTTTCAGCCTAAATTATTTTTACAATTTATTGTGTTTTTTAACCTATGGATACACTAATATGGGATACTTTATTTGTACATCAAGCTAACACAGACACACAGATTCAAAATATCTGTAGAACAGAGACATTTAATTATAGTATTTAGCGAAGACGAACACTTCCTAGTGTTTTAATATTGAGAATATAAACAACTATCAAGTGTATAATCCGTATGACTTTGAAGTTTCAACCACTATATGACTTCGAAGGAAAATAAATCTTAAATCCACCTATGATCAATTAAAATTTTATTGAAAGTCTAATACATCATGTCCATTATATTCAATAAAACTAGAATAAATTAACCTTAAAATTTAAGATAATGTCGTTAGTTATGTAGTCTATTTGTGTTTAAATAACTATACATTAACATTATGTCGAAAAATTAACTCAAACACAAGATTATGATTATGGGACGACGATTACCAAGAAAGACTTTATTGCATCTACACTCTTTGTAATTTGGTAGATGTGCACCGTTATCTCCATGGTTTCAAAATTTACGTCGTTGTTCCTCGTGGTTCTAATACTATTGCGCCAATGCTCCTCTAGATAAAAATATTCTTCAAATATTATGTAAATAACCTCGCTGCCCCCTTATGGTTTTGGAAATCGGTGCCAATCCCCCCTTTCCTTTTTCTGTATTCTTTTCTTTTTTTTTCTTTTTTTATAAAGAGAAGAAACATGTTTGTGTGTGAAATAATGAAAAATTGTTTTTTCAAACCTACATTTTTTAAAAAGTTTTAAAAAGTATAAAAAACGTTTGTGTTTGAAATGAAAAATGAAATAAAAAATTTAAAATATACTTCATTTGTCAAGTTAAATATTTTGTTTTTTATCTAAAAAAGTTTTTATCTTTTGCACATGTCGGGGCCAAAAGAATAATGAGTAACATATTTTTAACATATAGTTAATCATATATTAGTAACATTTTTTGGATCAATGAGCAAAAGATTTTCTTCATGACTTAATTTTCCATATTCTATAAAAGTATTTTTTTCATATACTTTTCTGTTTCTTTATATTATTTTTTCTTTTATTTAAATTATGATTAAAATAAAGGAAACGGTATAAAATTAATTAACAGAAACTGAAAAATGAACTTTATTAAAAAAAAGAGAATATTTCATTGATTTTCATATCATGAAAATGAAAAAATAATTAAAGACATATTTTGGACAAAAAAAGAAAATGTTTCATTTGAGACAAATTAAGTGTACGTTAATTCTTGTTATTTAATTGATTTTTATTACAAACACAAAAAAATTGATCATTAAAATATATATCTTAAAAAATTAAAAAAGAAATTAAAAAACATCCATGAAAAAAAAATAGTAGAAAAAAGAAAAATAATAAAGAAAAGAGGGGCGTTTGTGCCAATTTCCAAAACCATGGGGGCAGTAGAATTATTCTCATAATATTTGAAGGATATTTTAGTTTAGAGAGACATTGGCCTAACAATATTAGAATCATGAGGGCAGCGACATAAGTTTTGAAATCATAAGGGATAACAGTGCACATTTACCAAATCACATGATGTAATAGTGCAATATAGTCATCCAAGAAAATTATATACTTTAACACGCGCGTTCTTTCACGTACATGCGATATTTGATTTTGCTCAAGTCTTGTAAATGAACATTAGTTTTTGAAAACTGCGTAACATTGAAATTCGAAGTCATGACCTCGACCCCGTTTGGCATCAGCGTTAGCTATTAGCGTTGGCGTTTTGAAAAGCCTATCTAATGGTAGCCTTTAGAGTTAGCGTTTTCGGAATTAATCTACACCATTAAAATTTTATCCACGCTAATCGAAAACGCTGTCCCCAAACAAAGCCCTCATATTGGTTAATAAGGTTCTGATACCATGTTAACAAACTAATCCAATCAAAAGCTCAAATTTATGGTTGTAGCCTTGTATGCTCAAAATGGTTGTATGCTCAAAACGTCCCTCACGTGCAGATAATCTTTATTTTTGCTCGAGCCTTGCACGTAACATTAATTTTTTAAATTTAGGTAGCGGTGAGTTTCAAATTCGTGATTTCTTGGTAATCAAAACTTTGATATCATGTCAAGGATCCAAAATCAGCTGAAAATTCAAATTTGTGGTTGTGGCACATTATGACTATCTATATACATTAAATTTTAAATTAATATAGAAAGTTGTTTAAGAACATGACTAGACAGTTATTTAAGAATATACCGAGTATATTTTTAAGATCAAATACTCTTGGTAGATGTATATATTCCATTCATCTCAAAATAAATTTTATACGGAATATATGTTTTTATTGTTCTAAATTAAATTTTAACTTTTTTCAATTTGAAAATAAAATATGAACATCACAACCTTTATCTTTCTTTTAATTACGAATAAAACTCCACACAACTACCAAAATTTATTTAGGAGGGAAAGAGTATTTGCTTGCGTGCGAAGCTAGCCTAGAAAAGATAAATGTGACCGAATATAAGTCAAAAGCTACTTCTGTATAGTCAAAAGAAAGCTTGCTTGTTTGCACCTGTTTCCAATTTTCAAAGTCAAGAAAAGAATTATATATTGTTTCAACAAATCTTATATATAAAATTACTTATTTAATAAAATAATATTTTTAAAATATTTTATAAGAGAAATCTAATTAAACCATTCTTATATTAGTATATAATATAAATTTAATTTAATTTATACTCAAAATATGTTTATTTTAATTTAAAAAAATCAAAACTGAACAAATATTTAAGAGTGAATATTAGTACTATATAATGCTTATATGTAGTTAGAAAACTTACACTTCAATTCTTTCTAATATAATGATTCCTTTTCCGGCACCTTCATCCGCGGCGGAGCAGAGCGGGGGAGCGGACATCTCCGCCTTGCACTCCGACGTAATGGCCGCGCATATCGTGACTCGTTTAGATGGCCCCACACTCGCATCGATCACCTCCGCTTCTCACGATCTTCGCCGCCTCTGCTCCAATCAATCTCACCGCCTGTGGCTCGACATTTGCCACTCCACTTGGCCGTCCACCGCCGCCCCTCGCGTTACCGACGTGATCTCCACTTTCCCCGACGGCGGCCCCCGCGCCTTCTTCGCACACTCCTTCCCGCTTCCGGCGTCGGCGCCGCCCTTGTCCTCCCCGTCGTCGCTTCCTAAGGAGTTAATCTCCGCCGTGGATATACGCTACAAGGATGAGCTTATATTCAGCAAAGTCCATGAGATGGAAACTTCGAGCTCGGGGTAAATTATTTTGCATAAAATTAGTTCCCTGCCAGTATAATTATGAGTTTTTAGAAAGAAAAAAAATGCAATTTGAATATTTGTCTTGTTTTAAGTTTTTGCAATGGAAACTCGAAATTGATAAGCACGGATAATTAAGATCAAATCAGAAAAATATTAAAAAATAAATAATGTTAAAATAATAAGAATAAGAATAAGAATAAGAACAATAATTTGAATTTGCAAATTCAAATTAAAATAATAATATTAATTTGAATTCTAATTCAAATTAAAATGATAATATTAATTTGAATTCTAATTCAAATTAAAATAATAATAATAATTTGAACTCGAATTCAAATTTAAATTCTAATAATAATAATAATCATAATCATAATAATAATAATTGTTTTAATTCGAATCGATAATTCAAATTCAAATATGATTCATTTAGATCAAAATATATCTATTGGAATTAGATTAGATTCATTCATATTATATCAGCTTTAAAAAATACATTTCAGCTCATATCAGATCACCCAAAGAGAACACAGGCTTATACAATGAATTTACCTAAGCATTACTCTCAATTAACAAGTAACACGTTGGTAATTAGTTCATGTTGTCAGTTAATTTGAAAAAAACATTTAGTTATAGAGTACCATTTTAGAAATTTACCCTATGTACTATTATCCTCTAAAATTGTTGTCACGATAAATGATGCAGTTTGGCTATTGGTACTTCACAATATTTTTTGTAATTATGTTTCGGTATTATTTGGCATTATTATAGATATTGAAAGACATATTTTGGTATATATATATGAAGCATGTTTGAATTCTAATTAAGTATTTCTACGTAATAGTTTAGTTTGCACATAACAGGTTCGAACACTCGCCATTCATGGTGGACCTTGTTGACCCGAAAGATGGGATCTTCACGCAGATTACGCAACCCGATGAAAATGCCATGTGTGCTTCTTTCACCAAAGATGTGACCTTGAGTTGGATATTGATCGACCCTAACAACCAGCAAGTTGTGAACTTGTCTTCTTATAAGCCGGTCTCTGTGCACCGCCAATGGCTGGGCGGGGATGTGCGGGTGACATTTGCATCAATCTTGCTCACAGATCACCGTCATGTGGGTCCCGCTCAATGCGGGATTGTGGTCACTTTTGACGCATCGAACAACACTGAGACACTACATGTGTGGGAAGTGAGCATACAAATGGAGGACATAGATGGAAATCTTCTGAATGGGAAGGATAGCCTCTTGATTTTGCAAATGGCTTTGGAGGGCAAAAGGGTAAATGGAATTAGAAGAGTAGAAGAGTCACGAAGGAGGTTCAAAGAATTCTTGGATTTAAAGAAAAAGAGAAAAGAGAGAAAAGTGAAGGTAGAAGTGGCACTAGATATTTTGTCGGTTGTATTAGGTGCATCTGCTTTTCTTGCGTTTTCTTTGTTTCTTTTGCAAACATAAATATTCTACTAAAAAAGGAAATTGTGAAATATCTTTTCTAGATATTTTGTAGGTGGTAATATGTTTCTTTTTCAAAGTAATAAATTGTGAAATATCTTTACTTAGACTCTCTCCTTTTTGTATCCACAAGCCTTTTGTTTGATTTATTGGAATGGATCCAAACATACGTATTGAGTAATGCTCAATATATTTAATTCACTACATATTTAAATATTTTATTTAGACTTAGGCAATTTTAACACACGCATCTGATAAAAAAGACGTTACCAACATAAAATGAGTCGAGTTAATATGAACAGGAAGTGAGATTAAAAATCTAAAAGTGAAAAATTGAGGTAGATACTATGAGAAAATGACCTCGGATCTCTCTCACATCCCTAGAAATCTTCCATGGTCATAGTGTGATCTCTCTCAATTTGCATCGACCGATTGATAATCCCGATCAATTCCAGACAGTCAGTTAAGTTATTGGGTCAATATTGATTTTTTTGGGTGGGGTTCTCGGTCCAGATAGAGGGTGAGGGGTTTTATATTTTAACTAGCTAATGAGGGAATCGATGACTAAAAAGTTTTGTTGCCATTACAAACCGTAGCCGTTTCTTTGAAAAATTACATCACAATCATCGTTTCCTCGCTACTTTCGGACGCAACATTAATTTTGTTGTTAATAGAGACAGATTAAAATCTGTTACCTTTCGTCATTTTTTCAACGAGTTCTTGCACTGGTAGATTGACAGTTATTAAATAATCAAAACTAGACAAATATTAAATTGAAAAACGGATAAAAAACAAAATGCACTCTCGAAAAGTAAAAAAAGCTAAAATACACTCCCACTTCTCTCAAATATCACAACCAAGTCTAAAAAAATAGTTTCTTTTATTTCACATTTAACGGTCAAACACCATCAAAATTATTGGCATCACACCGTCAAAGTTATTAGCATCACTTTACTTTAATTAACCTAACGAGGCATTATGTTCATTCATATTTTTTTGATGGTTGAATGTGAACTAGAAGGAACTAATGGCGTGTTTGGTTGGAATAATATATGTTTTAGGAAAATTTTAATTCTATTTTCATGCGTTATGGGGGAAAACAGTTTCCGTTCAAACCTGTTTCTGTTAAAATTCGAAGAAATTTTTTTTATTCTCTTTCCGCTCAAACCCCCACGCACGCCCCCCACCTCCGTCCACCCCATACCCTTTAACCCCAACCCTCCCCTCTCCCTACCGCCCGCCATCTCTACCTCGACCCTATATACACCTACCACCAGGGCCGGCCCAATAGGGGGACAAGGTGTCCGTCCGGGCCGGACCCAAATATGTTAGGGGCACAAATATTTTTTTTTTAAAGTATTCTATATATATGCGTGTGTGTATATAAGCCCAGGCCCAGTCCACCCATGACCCATCCCTTTACTTAGCCCATTCCATGTGTACATGTGTATTCTGTAGACCCAAAAAAAAAAGAAACGGAAGAAAAGAAGTGCCGATCGAAGACACCAGAAACGTCAAGAAAACGTCAAGAAAGGACCGGACGCCGAGCCGAGTCACCGCCTCCACCGCCGGACGCCGACGCCGAGTCGCCGACCTGCACGCCTCCACCCTCCAGGTAATTATTCATAGCCTTCCCTTTCCAATTTTGTAATTTTTATTTCTTAAATCTTAATTTTCTTTCATTGTTTCCTTTTTTAGATTTAAAATCTAGGGTTAATTATTAGTTTTTAATTTGAAATCTTTTCTAATTTCATTCTTTGAAATAGAATGAATGAATGGTTTTATATGTTATTTATTTGATTTGGATGAATTGATTTGAATTTGTTATTTATGATAATTATATATTTATATTAAANGGTAATTATTCATAGCCTTCCCTTTCCAATTTTGTAATTTTTATTTCTTAAATCTTAATTTTCTTTCATTGTTTCCTTTTTTAGATTTAAAATCTAGGGTTAATTATTAGTTTTTAATTTGAAATCTTTTCTAATTTCATTCTTTGAAATAGAATGAATGAATGGTTTTATATGTTATTTATTTGATTTGGATGAATTGATTTGAATTTGTTATTTATGATAATTATATATTTATATTAAAAAAACTGAAAACCAAAAAAAACTGATAAATTGATATGAATTTATGATTTATAAAAAATTTAAAACTGAAAAAGAAAAAACAATTAAAAAAAGAAAAATTGACGAATTGATATTAATTTATGATATATTTATTTGCTTGCTTTTTTCAGTTTTTGTTCTTGATTTTACTTAGTATAATACTACAATTTTGCCATTTATTTTTTTCTTGTAATAATATTGCGTTAATTATAATTTAAATATAATTAGTTTACATATGTGAATTTTTTAGACAATTAAGGATAAGACTTTCAGGGTCTTTTTTCTGTTTCGGCCTAGGTTGATGAATCCTCAGGACCGGCCCTGCCTACCACCCTCATCCACCCCACCCTGCCACCCCACTCCTCACCTTATACCCTCCCCGTGTTCATACCCATCTTGCCCGTCCACATGTTCCGGTTATTTTTTTGTTTCCAAAAGATTAACTCAACATTGTTATTTTTTCGATACCAAAAATTTTGTAATCGATCCGTATTTAAAAGGTTCCAGTTTGACTTGACACGAGTTTTAATGTAATGTTAAGATAATTTTGACTTTTAGTTTTAAATTTTATATTTTTAATTTTATTTTTAAATTATAAATTTAGAATTTCTATGTTAAATATTAAATTATAAATTTGGATTTTTCATTTTAAATTTTGAATTTAAAAACTAAAAATTTAAAATTTAAAATTTAAAATGCAAAAATTAAAGTTTAAAGTATAAATTTAAAAATTAAAGATTTCAAATAAGAAATAAAAAAACATAAAATTTATAATTAAAAGTTTAAAATCATTCTCCTTTGAAAAATATTCTTTTTGAAAAATATTTTTCCCACAACTAAACACAACCTAATTTTTTTAGAGTGAATTACTCCGGTATGATATTTGGGAGAAGTGAGCACTTCACTTTTTTTTTTCTACTGCATTTTGCTTATTTTTTTCCTATTAAAACTCCTCCCTCTGGAAAAAGGCAGTCTTTTTTTTTAGAACAACCAGAGAATCTCATATCGATTTTCATTCGACTCCGTCGTCTTCAACAGTTCTCCGACCTTCCCCGTCTATTCCAGGTACTCAGATTCTGTATTTTTTGCTCCTCCTAATGTAGACGACTATCTCTGGTTTTGCATTCCGGTAAGGGAAAATTTCCTTGTTATTTCATGTTGGGGGAAATATCTTGGTTGCAAATGCTTAAAAATGTCTTAGGGTGCCATTTGGCTTTGAACCTTCCATTATAAAAATGTCTTTGGTTGCAATGACTGATAAAAGTGTTGTGGATTTTTCAATTCTGTCATGAATTCTTCTTCTGCCTCACACACACTTTGTGGAGTAATACGGGTATCTAACCCAAAACTAGTCCAAAACTATTGGAACCAATACGGTGTCGGACAATTGAATTCTTTTACATACAAACTAAGCATTTGTTCTTTCATAATTCTTCTCATTTGTAGAAAAATTCAGTTATCTAACACCATATTGGTCCCAACTTCCAAGAATTGTTAAAAATATCACTTCACAGTGTCCATTTTTTACAACAACAACAACAACAACCTAGTATAATCCCAACTTTGTTGGGTTCTGAGGTCAAGATGTGTACTCTAACCTTACCCCAGTAAAATATAGAGACTGTTCCTCTTAGACCCTTGATGGAGATTAACATTTACAACCCAAAACTTTATTGAAAGTAAGAAGCAAAGGAATCTCAATGTGCAATTTTTTGTCATTACATCCAAGTACCCTTGTATTTTCATGATAGAATATCATATCAAGGAATGATAAGAAAATGAAAGTATAAAAGCAAATGGTGGCGTGAAAAAGACTAGAGCAATCAAAATCAGGAAACTTTCAAGGATAAGCAAATTTTTTGCAAGATATTTCCCCCAACATGAAATAACAAGGAAATTTTCCCCTACCGGAATGCAAAATTAGAGATAGTCGTCTACATTAGGAGGAGCATAAAATACAGAATCTGAGTACCTGGAATAGACGGGGAAGGTCGGAGAATTGTTGAAGACGACGGAGTCGAATGAAAATCCACAACACTTCTATCAGTCATTTCAACCAAAGACATTTTTATAATGGAAGGTTCAAAGCCAAATGGCACCCTAAGACATTTTTAAGCATTTGCAACCAATATGTTGTTATTAAAATTTTGAAGGATACCAACTTTTATTCTGTCTGTAAATCTGCAATTGATATTGATCTAATTCAGTACTTTATTTTTCTATCATTACTAGCCATGATTGATATTCTTCTTTACTGTAAATAGTGAAGTCCACATCGTTGGGGATCTGGTTTTAGAGTATGATAGGGTCATACTACTCAAATGTTCTTGCATCTTGATTTTTTTTTGGGGATTTTTAGTAAAGATTGTTTCTTTATTATGATTGGATAATATTGGTTGACTTATTTGAGTTTATTCCATATTTGAATGGATACAACAATATAAAGGACTAAATGTTCTTAACTTACAAAGGACGCCCACAGAAATTTACCATTCAACTTAATGATCAACTGGCGGAAGGTTATACAGGGGACCTGGAAGTATTCACTACTCTCAAGTATGTAGAACCACTAGGAGTATTTTGTTTGTATGATGGACTAACATGAAACGCCAAAGACCACTTTTGGAATTTACTCAAAACTATATATAGCCAAGGAATAATTTTTAATGCTCTAGCTATGGTTTCCTTTTCAGCTTATTTTATTTTAGGTGATTGAGTATACTATATTAACTTGCTTTCTTCTGATGTTGGCTTCTTGTGGATCCACTGTATGGACTTTTGCTGATTGAATTGTAAGTTATAATATTTAATTTTTTTTTTAAAATCCAAACCATTGAGATGAATATATTCAAATGTGGTTCCTTAATAACAGGCGTGAGGGGCTTGTTTTCATGTTTTCCACGAGCATCCTGCTACAAATCCTGACAGGTTCAAGTGTTCAACTAATTTGCCACTTTTGCACATGGCTGCAAGATTGCGCCTTTTCAGCATCTGCAACATTTTATCATCTTTGATAGTGGAAACAGGTCAGGTTCTCTCTTTTTATATTTTCTCATTCTTTTTCAATTCCAATCCAAATCTTTGAAGACTCGTGGGTATTTTGTTTGTTTGTTTCCCAAGATCTGAGCTTTTTATATTGGTAATTTGTATTCGAGAGCAAGTAGAAGTTTCTTCAGTGTTTCGTGTTGTGTGATAAACAAAAAGATTTAAAAAATCGTGTTCGTAACTTGTTGTAGGGAAACCTATGCAAAGATTTATATGTGCCGCATTTCGTTCAACTGTTACTGAAAACTTTGGAGACAATCGCAGCAAGGGTTATAGCAGCCTAGCAAACAGTTTAGCATCTTTGGTTGAGGAATCTTCAGTTCTTCAGAATGAAAAAACAACTTTGTCATTATCACAGAACTTGGCCAGCTTAGTTGAGGAGACCTCTATAGCTATGGACACAAAACAGATGTCTAGGATGGAGCGGAAGAGGTTTCTCGAACGGAAAACCAAGAAGAAGGTGAAGGCACAATATGCAGATGGTAAGTTTAAGGACCTAATGGAAAAAGTGATTAGTGATCCCGAGACTCTTCGGGATGCTTATGAGTGTATTAGACTGAACTCTAATGTTGATCCGGTGTTGAATGGAGATGACTTGCCTTTTGAATCCATGGCAGAAGAGTTATCCCTTGGGCATTTCAAGGTAAGTGCTAACACATATTCAATTGCAAGTAGGGGTCCAATGAAAGAAGTAATTGTCCTTCCGAACGTTAAGCTTAAAGCTGTTCAAGAAGCTATTAGAATAGTATTGGAAGTTGTTTACAGACCGAAATTCTCCAAGATCTCACACGGGTGTAGAAGTGGAAGAAGTCACCTTTCTGCCCTTAAATACATCTGTAAGGATATGAAGGACGCCAACTGGTGGTTTACATTATCTATAAACAAAAAGCTTGACGGTTTCATCCTTGCGAAACTTTTTTTGGTCATGGAATATATGATTGGGGATACTATGCTATATGATGTCATCCGGAGCATGTTTGACTGTCAAGTCCTGAATTTAGAATTTGGTGGTTTTCCTAAAGGACACGGTCTCCCACAAGAGGGGACATTATCACCTATATTGATGAACATATATCTTGACCTCTTGGACCGAGAAATGTACAGATTGTCAATGAGATACGAAGCTCTTCTTGACACGGGACTGAAGACCGAAGGAGAAGGGACCCGTTCTAAGCTGCGCGATTGGTTTAAGAGGCAAATGAATCGCGGTGGCTCCACTGAGGGGTATTCTGGTAACAGGGTGCAAAGTTGCCGTTTCATGGATGAGGTTTTCGTCGCGGTCTCCGGTAGCAAAGAAGTTGCTGTTTCTTTAAAGTCTGAACTTCGAGATTTCATGAAAAACTCTCTCCACTTGGAAGTTGACAATGATGATGATGATGATGATATTTTGCCATGCGATGGGCCTGCAGGGGTTCGGTTCCTGGGCTGCTTGGTCAAAAGAAGCCCAGTGGAGATTCCCGCGGTAAAAGCAGTTCACAAATTGAAGGAAAAAGTAAGGTTATTTGCGGCTCAGAGACAAGAGGCGTGGGACAGAGGGACCCTTAGGATTGGGAAGAAATGTCTGGCCCACGGGCTTAAGAAGGTGAAAGAATCCGAGATCAAACATTTAGCAGATAACACCTCTACTTTAAGTGAAATTTCCTGCCACCGTAAATCTGGAATGGAAACTGATCACTGGTTCAAAGTCTTACTAAAAGTGTGGATCCAAGATGTGAATGGTAAAAATGCAGAGAGCCAGGAATTCATCTTATCCAAACACATGGTCGAACCGTCCCTCCCAAAAGAACTAAGAGATTCCTTTTATGAATTCCAAAACCAAGTCGACAAATATGTTTCTTCAGAAACATCTGCAACTCTAGCCCTTCTTCCTAACCCAACTTCTTCGTTCAAAACCCAGATTATTGCCCCCATTAATGCCATCAAGAAGTGTTTATACAGGTACGGGTTGACAAACTTTGATGGGTTTCCCCATACATGTCATGTCCTCATTTTTCTGGACCGCGACCACATCATCGACTGGTTTTCTGGCATAGCCACGCGGCTCCTCAGGTGGTACAGGGAGTTTGACAACTTCAATGAAGTGAAGTTGGTCATCTGTCACCAACTGAGGATGTCTTGCGTTAGAACACTGGCAGCAAAGTACAGAATCCATGAGAAAGTGATTGAGAAGATGTTTGATTCAGAGCTGAGCAGAATCCCTTCAAGTGCTGACATTGAAGACGACGAGTTTGAGCGGGCCCCGGCGTCTCAGAAGGACGATGACGACGAGTCGTTGACCTACGGGATTGCGTACAGTGGCGGGTGCCTGCTGTCTTTGGTTCGGGCGGTCAGTGGGTCCCGCCCCTGCAACTGTTTTGTGGTGGGGTGTGGGGCCGCGGCCCCACGCGTGTATTCTCTTCATGTGATGGAGAGGCAGAAGTTTCCAGGCTGGAAAACTGGGTTTTCCAGCTCCATACACCCTGGTTTACACAGGAGGAGGTTTGGGCTGTGTAATGATCATTTGAAAGATCTGTTTCTGGGTCATATTTCTCTTCAATCTATTGATTTTGGTTCTTGGAAGTGAGATGATAATTCAAGAAGTTTTGCTTTGTTGAGAAAATGGTGAACTCTGTACACTACCACATTCCATCTTGAAACCATTCTAAAATCTTAGGGTCCGTTTGGCACATAGAATTGACGGAATTTGAATTGAATCGAGAGTAGAAAGTCTATGGATTTGATTTGGATGAAATTGAGTTCTCCGATTCCAGTTTATTTTTGGCACTACCAATTCGCAATCCACATATTTTTGTCCTACCCAAGAGTAAAATTGAATTGGTTGTCCCCAATTCTAATTTCATGATTTGAATTCCGTGTATCAAACAGAGCTTTAAAGTATTTGTATTGAATCTGTTTATGTTTTTCTTCTTTCACTTGGTTCGGATAAGAGGGCAACTTTGTACATTCAATTCATTATGAAACCATTCAAAGGCTAATATTATACTGTAAAATTCTGTAATGATGTATCCATTTGAATAATTTTAAATTGATGGAAACCGCTTTTTCGGGGCATCGACCCGATGAAATCGGTACCGGGTCGGCACCGCACCGAATAGCGAAATCCGGAAATTAAGTAAATAAATAAAGCGGAGAGAAAGTATTTATACGTGGAAACCCAAATCGGGAGAAAACCACGGGCCTTTTTAGGCGGTGCCATGCCAAAGGGGGAGGAACTTTTATTAATCTCGGGGGAGTTTACATATACATCATTGTAGGAACTTGGAGTCATTAATGGAGCTCCAAGCTAAAAGAAGAAGAAGAATGAAGAATATAGTAGTAGGAACTTGTA